AGCCTTAACTTAGTTTAATCTGAAATGTCATTTTGTTTGATACAAAATAAAGATTCTATTGACGTAAATTGTGTATTATTCAATTTAAAAATAAGGAACTCAACCTATTTCACATTTGGATGCATAAGATCTCTCCAAACTGACATTACTAGAAATTTGTAAATATTCTGACAAATTTTACTTAAGAGGTCAAGAAAATTCATTTAATAACAAAACTTTTTCCTATTATGTGCATTTTATAATAATGAATCATTAATGTATATACTGTATATTATTTGTACACAAATATTGTATCTATCTAGCTTTAATGTCACAATCTGAATGAGTAAAATGCACAGAGTTTATGAGCAAAAAATAATTCTCGTTATTTATGGTGGTAACTGTACATGTTAACTGCATCACAAAATATGACATAGAATGATACTTAATCAAAAAACGTCAGCTTACTGATGTATTGTACCAAAAACGACGCAAATGAAGGTAAAATTATTAAATATCCAGTCTGCTCTCTCTAATATCAACCTCGCTAATATCAACAGCATCTCTATTAACAACATTAGTTATTGAACGGATTCCTTTAAAAATTTCAGAAAAATTACATCTTAAATAAAAAAAATTAGAAATTCAAGATATGTATTTCTTTTTGGTTACTATTTTATTTCTAAATTCTATATCATTTTAAAGCCAATCAATTGTATTTTTCAAGATGATTCCTAAAATGAAGAAATTATTTTAATTAGAAAATTACAAAACTTTATTTTATATTTATCATTTCATTATCGCTATTATCTGTTGGTCAGGATCTTTTGAATAAGACCGATTCTTATAGATGATCGGTAGTTTGACTTTTCATCGATATTAATGTATACAGCTCAGCTTTTTACTGAATTTCTCAACCCTGCCTACATTTTTGACATGCCAGATTCTCGAATCAGCGTAACTTTTAATTTATCAATTGATCGCAAAAAGAAATATTCAAGTATGCTGTAGAAAATTTAATACATTTCTTTAGTAGAACTAATTATTTGTTTCGCAAAATAATAAATTTAAATTCGTGTGTAATTTTTTATTTACTATTTTACTAGCCTTGAGGTCAAATTAAGGTTTAAATTTTTACAGGGAGGTTACTATACAGAGCACTTTACAGTTAAGGTTAAGGTACGCTACGTTTTTATATATACTTGTATAAATATCGCTTTAATAATGACAAAAATTAATATTAAAAATTTCCTTGGTGGTTTAGGCTGAATTTGACTGATTACTGGTCTGGTTTGAACTGGAAGCTAATTTTGGCGGGTTTCGGCTCAGTAAAGATAATATCTAAAGTCAAAAATTTACATTTTATAAATTGAATAAGCTTCTAATAAGTAAATTCAAAATTTAATCCGTAAATATAATTAGAATAGGTCTTAATCATATTTATGGATTAAATTTTGAATTTATTTCTTAGGTAAAAACATGCTTGGCGTTTAGCTGTATCGGTATGTTGTGTTACATATTAAAAAAGCAGGGATTGGTTTTGTGCGATTGTTTTCATAGTTAAAATTGGTTTATTTATTATTTTGTCGCAAGCACCTAGTTATTTTCATACATGGGTATTAATAATTTTGCATGAGATTGATACGTATATTTAATTGTACAAAGAACAAATATTTGCTATTACCCAATTTCTTTTTTTGGCATAAATAAATTTAACAACAGAATTACATGAACATGTAAATGATTCAGGCGAATTTAACAAAAAACCTGAAATATTTAAATTCTAAAAATTATCTGCTAAATTCACTTCACATAATAGAATATAAATACTAAAAAAAAGGGAAGGTTGGCAATAAAACGAAGGGTATCTTTTCTGTTCTTTTTAAAACTAAAAACTTTATCCGATTATTAATTAAACTGAATTTTTTTAGTTTCCAAATTTTACATGATTTTATTCGATATGTATTCAGCTTAGCATGAAATTTAGCGCTAGTAAACATGAAAAATTTACATGTTATGTCCTGTCAAGGAAATAGTCCATGTGTTTGCTGACTGTATGATTCAATCCTAGTCATGCATAAGTGATTGTAAATTACATGTACTCGACATGCATTCAGAGGAAAGCATTCACAAGTATAAAAGCGACATCTCTTGTCTTTTTATTCAATCAATTCATCAAAGCACTATTTCTCTCAACGAAGACATTATTATACATAATAATAATAAACATGAATACACAAAGATCCACTATCATCATCTTCACGTTGTTTGTCGTAATTTTAGTTGCGCAAAATATTGTAGTATCGGCACCAGCTCCAGTACCAACGTCAGTTAGTACGGATTCTGCGTATAACGCTGTTAATAGTATGTAGCTTGCATGTTTTTTATATTATAATTTATCAAATGAAAAATTAAATTTTTATTTTTTAATATAGGTATTTGTTTGGCTAATAGTCCTAATACTACAGCCAGTGACATGAACAATAATGCAAACACCACGGTAACCAATGCCACAACCTGATTGAATTGCAAGCTAAACTGAATAATCACAAATAATCGTTGATTGAGCAATTATCTATTATCAATGTGTATATTAATAGAATAAATCTACTAAAGTTTATAATAATAATAATAATAATAATAATAATAATACTCGATTATAAACTAATGGCAGAACCATAATGCTTGAATCTCCCACCAACCACAATAAATTGAACAGAGTGAAATAAAAAAGGTGTAAATTGTAAATCCTAATATAATATACACTGTCTTAACCTCAACGATAATTTTGAAATGAAATATGTGTTTATATCATTTTACATCTTCTTGCAGTAGGTGTTTTTTTGTACAGCTAATGATTAAAAATTTAAATGGTTGTACTTTAAAGATCATACATGTATTATTTATAAATATGTTTGTGTTCACTTCAAACACTGGTTAACTGATTCTTATCATACTTAGTAGCAAACGAACTTCCCAAGGCTGTATTTACTAACATAATGTGTTTTATCTTAAGAAAAATTAATAAACCGTCACCTTTATTTTATACATGTACACAATACATAATACGCGCAATATTGTAATAAATAACACGCAACCTTTATCTATGACATTGTGATTTTGACCGAATTCCATAAACCTTTCACATGCTCATTAACATCAGGTTCAAATTTGAACATTTGAAATTTTATAGCTTTATAGCTTTATTATTAAATATGTCGGGGTTCACTAAAATATTGTCAGGTATGCTCAATTCCAAGCATGATTTAATTTTATATAACCAGGTATTTAATGTGAGAAAATTCAAGTATATTATTAGCATATACTTATCATACCATACTGTTTATAACATAATCTTGAATTGTGTTGAGAGATAAACTTTACTTGTTAATATGCAGAATTGTTTTTTACGAAAGTTAATACATGTACATGTTTTCCTTTAATATTTTTACGCATCATGCTAGTGACAACGTGAATTATTGTTATACATGTAGATCTGAGATGGATTGTAATGTTAGTGTTAACTAAACATTTTATCAATCGCTCTCAAAAAAAAAGTAAGATAAAAAATTACATTGAAGACTGATTTATTAGCCTCACGCTCTAATAAGTTGGCAAACTTTTATAAAAACGCCAAGTACTGCGGTATTTCGATCATTGTTGGAGATACTGAGCGAATTTTACAGCGCATTCATCAATTTTAGTGGCGCGATCGCTCTTTTTAATGCGTGAGTAAAACGAGAACCTAACAAATTAAGGAACCAAATATTGAACCACATATTTTTGAAATTCTATTAAGGTAGTCTTTGTTTTTAATATGATTATCGTTACGTTAAATTGCAATTAATCTAGATGATTTTTTATATAAGATGTATACACAGTGGCAAAATCGTTTTGTCTGATCATGGAATGTCAACGCTTTTAGATTTGTTTGTTGCAGCTGATGAGTTAATCCTTGAAGATTAATTGAACATATTCAAGAATATCTTTAGAGTAACTTTCTGAGTCTATGGTTGAAAATTTTGCTACGATCCATCAAGTTGCCTTTCAAACGATTGCTTTCTCAAACGCCAGGAATTCTGTATAGAAACAACATGTAAAAAGCCGGCTGCGGTTTTTCAATTCAGCAATTTCAAGAAACGGCAATCATTACTTTGCTAAAACGAGATGATTTGAATCCTGAAGAAATAGAGATCTGGGAAAAGATTATTGACTTTGAAATTGTTGATTTATCAGTTCCAGTGGATCAATGGTCGCTTAATATTAATACATATCCATGTAATTGTGTTTCTTAGTCGTCGAGTCGATAAATTAGTACATGTACTGTACATGTATACATGTGCATGTAATTTTGATTTACATGGGTCTGGTACGAAATTGAAATCCCGAATGCACAACATCGGAAAGATCTAAATCCCGAAAAAACGGCATCCCGAATCACGAAATCCCGAATGAAAGACATCCCGAAAGATCGAAATCCCAAGTGAATGATATTCCGAAATTACGATATCCTGATGTACAAAACCCCGATGAATGATATCCCGTGATAATTTTAGTATTTCATGCATTTTGGGATGTTCATTCGGGATTTCGTGATTCGGGATATCGATCGTTACCGGATTTACATACATTTCGAAACATCAAAGAGGCTTATTGCTATCGTTACTGTATGTTGCTAACTTTATTATTAACTTTAAGTATCGATTGTTTACTTGCTGTTATTAAGTGTTGAATTACATGATACATGTATTTTGTAAGAATAATAATGTAATTCAGTTGATTTTATTGCCAAATAACTTATTTTGCTTTTAGTGATGTTACTTAACATTTATCATTTATGAGAGTTAAATTTTTTTTTTCTTCATTTAATTCTAGTTAAATAATGACTAGACTAGACTAGACTAGATGTGAGTGGAGTAATTTCAATTAATTGGATAAGATTAAATTTAATAGATCGTGTGTATAAAAATATTTTGTTGGCAAATATGGTATAAATGAAATTATGATATGAAGCGACAGTGATTACTTTTCAATGATTTTTATAGAAATTATATGAACTAGATAAGAACAATTTATTTGATAGAATTTTTAATTAATATGAAATGTTAGAAACCACTGCACCAGTTGGAGTAGATTTTGAAAAAGATTAGTTGTTTGTTGTTTTGGGCAATATTTTTTGTGAGTTTGTCCTCACTAAGTTTTTTAGTTCTAGAATACTAAGGATTTTATAAATTTGAATAATAAGTTATTTGTTTCCTTCAAAAGACATTATAAACTATAAATACACATATATGAATAAAATAAATAAAATTTTGACAGTGATAAAAGTAATGTTAAAATAGATATACGCGTGAACACAAAAAAATTGTTTTGCGCTAACATCTAAGTCTGTAGTTTTTTTTGCAAGTCATTTCAGTTATTATTGTTATTTTTGATTTCGTGTGATATACTGTACTAATATCGAAATCTGTTTTGTCGATAAAGAAAAATACATTAAAAAAATTGTAAAAGTAATATATGTATCAATAAATATATAAATTAATACTTTTAGAACCTAAATATTTGGATATTAAAATCATCTGAAATATCATTTTAATACAAAAATAAATGTGGTACCTGTATCAGTTTGAATTGATATTGATTTCGAAGTAAACGTTGACTTTTTTTTTGTTTATATTCGTGAGAATTTTTTGCAAACCCATTTACTCATTAGGTTTCAATAGTTTCTGTCTGTACAATTTAATAAACCCATTATACTTTCATCTATTTTAGGATATTCTAAAGACACGTATCCTGAAATATTCGGTTCGCGATAAACATTATCATAGAAGATAGAAAAGATAAAGTCGGAAAGTTCTCAGCTGTTGGTCTGATTTCAGGAAATGAGCATTTTTCAATATTAAATTTGTATTATCCGGGAATAGTTCATAGGTCACACTCCTATATAAATATTTAATACCATAACTTCTCTCAAAGAATGATTATTCACATGCTATAATTCCCTGCCAAAACTATAAATATCTGCAGCGCTTGCAATATACTACCTCGGAACTCATATAAGGAAATATTCCATAAATTTATTGGTCAGGTCTATCTATATTATATTATTTGTAATGCTAAGTCCAAAATCAGCAATTTGAAGTTCATTTCATTATAAAATGTTCATTTTATATCTCGTTCAATAACTTTGCCTTGAATTGTGTAATGAATTCAACATAACTTTAATTTATCTAACATGTCTAAATTTATTTTTTTCAGTGTTCCATTTAGAAATGCATCTATCTGACCAGATTGTTTTATAAATCAGCTCACAACCTGCTTTTCAACATTGTTAATCTCCATAAGGAACGCATTCAAATAATTTATATCGATATATTTTATCCCCTTTAATAATTTTGTTGATTATTAATATCGATATCTTTATCTCCATTAGGCATTTTCGTCAGTAGATATTCGTAAAAAAAATCAATCATCTTGTTTGACAATTGTAACATTTACTATAATCGTGAATATTGTAGACTAAACACTCGTTGCAATAGCAATTCTCTCCTTCATTAAAAGGATGAGTGTTTGATTCCATTTTTGAATTTACTTCATAAAAGCGAATTGCTTGAAATAATAGTAAAACAAACGAGATATATGAACCGATATCGCTATACATGTACATGTACACCGCTCCGACGGTGGTGGTTCAAATTCTATGCGTGATAAAAAAATTTTCTCCATGTTAAGAAAAATATGTAACTTGAAATCTCTTAACGTTAAATGTACATGTACATGTACAGTACCACAGGATACAAAATTAAAAATAAAAATTTAGATAATTTTCAATTTATTTGATTTTCGTCAATTTATACGCCAAATAAAAAATAGTTTTATTTAATATTTAGTTGGTCTTCCATTTGACTCCAATACTGCATTAATTCTTCGTGGCATTGATGCAGTAACCCGTTCTAAAATGGCCATATCAAGTTTTTCCCACTCCATCTTCAGCAATCTTAAGTTCGTCCATAGTCGTCGGAAAGTTCTCATTTTTTTGAATATTGTCCTTTAATATCTTTCAAATTTTCTCTATTGAATTCAGGTCTAGGGGATTCGCCGGCCAATTAATAATCACGATTTTATTTTCCCTTGATTTTTCCCGCAGTATGTATTGGCGCATTGTCATGTTGAAAGATTGCGTAACTTCCAGTTATTTCCCTAATTTCATTCTGGAATGGAAATAAATAGATTTTTAAGATTTCGAGGTAAGTATTTTTTGGTCATTTTTTTATATTAATTACAAAAAATTAATGGTCCTTCCGCAAAATATCCCCAAACCATTACAGATTTTCATCCACTTTTAAAGGTAGACGCCAAAAAATAATTTTAAACTTTTTTTCAGGATGCCGCCAAACTCTTGGCTGCCGTGGCTGCTTTCCAATTTCCACACTGGTATCATCAGAGAAAATTATTTCGACCAATCATAAGCTGATTATTTTTATTTTCTTCACATCATTTAACATGAGCATATGTATGTGT